CGGTGTGGACACTCCACTCATCACCGGCGAAGGCGGTCCACGCTTGCCTCGGCCGGCTCCGGAAAAATACAGCTCTTGAGCTGCAACCACTGCTGTCTTCTCTGCCTCTGCACGGCTCCTCTGATACTGCTCTGCCATGGCTTACGAGGAGAGGTGTGGTCAAAATGACCTAGGATACGAAAAATGCAAAGGGCGGCGTGCACCGTGCACCTGGCAGCCGAGATGCCTGGGTTGAGGGTTTAAGATTTAGGGTTTAGGCTGTAGGGAGTTAGGACTTTGAGAATTAGGGTTTCGGGCTTTGGCGGGCTAGGACTTCCAGATTTCGGGCTTGAGGCTTCTTGCTAGGTCCTGCAACTCTCGGGGGTTCGGGTCTTTCGAAATTTGGGAGCTTTTGCCCCCTGGCTCCTGGCGGTACTTCTCCGCATCTGCCACGGAGTACTCATGGCTCTCCGTGTAAAAATCGCTCGCATCGACGAAAGGCTGCAGGAAGCCTCCCGCCTGGAAAGCCTGTCCAGCCAAGACTCGAAACCTTGAAACCCTGAAACCCTGAAATCCTAAAACCCTGAAGCCCTGAAACATAAAAACCTGAAACCCTATACATGGAGACCCAAAAACGCGAACCCTTGTGATCCCAACAGGAGGTGCACAGGCATCAAAAGGCGGAGAGCCTGCCAACAGGCCTGCGTAGTAGCCTGGCCCATGTCTGCCTTGTTTTTCAGGGTGGAGGGTTTTGGGTTTAGGGCTAGGACCAAGCGTTTGAGTGTTTTGGGGGCGCGCGTCTGCCTGTTTCCCAAGAAACACGGCTTAAGATCTGGGCCGCCTAAGTCAGATTCCGAGGATGCGAGCGCGACCGGAACTGAAAAACCTGGCCAACTCAAACCGAAAACCACATAAACCCTCCGTAAACCCAAAACTCAGCCTGAACCCCTTACACGCTTAAACCCTAAACCTGCACAAACCCCTCGTAAGCTCTCGAGAAAGCTGCTGTGGAAGCATCGGAGTTTAGCCTCTCGAGCTCCTCCTGTAGGTCTGTCAGCACGGCCTGGTACCTGTTTCTTGCAGGGTTTTGGATCTTGGATTTCGGGTTTGGGTCTCAGGGCTTAGGGCTTTGGGCTAAGGGTTTAGAGATTTGGGTTTTGGGTTTTAGGCGTAGGGGTTAGGGTTTAGGGCAGTACAGACAAAGAAACTCTCGTCTGTGAACCTTTGATAGGAATAGACTCGGAATAAACTTTGTAACCCTGCTACGAGTTTCTTGGCGAGAAATCGAACCAAGAACAAAAGAAAACTCACTGCCAAGATCGGCCCGGGTACTGTGCTTGATTGGCGAGGTTTGAGTGCTCACTAGGGTCGGCAGCAACATCGTACAGGCAACCTGGGAGGTGCAGGGTTTCGGGTTTAGGGCTTGGGGTGATTGGCTGCATCCTCCGCGATGCATGGTACCACGAAGGTGGGTTCCAGGGGCCTTCGAAGATATGACAAAAGGCCGAGCCACCTGTGCCACAATCCTCTACCATGGCATACTCCCTGTAGGTAGCGTCGTCAGATTCGATTCGGACCCCGTGGCCAAATACATCCACTCGGGGGAACTCTGGATGGACGCTGCTGCAGTTTGGAAAGACCTGGGTTGCTGCTAAGGAACCTAATTCAAGTTACACTCAAAAGCCCTAAACGCAAAAACCCTAAAGTACATAATACGGTTTCCAGTTTGTAGCAACTTTGTAGCAACTTAACCCTGAACCCCTAAACCCCCAAACCCTTGACCTAGGTTCCTGAACAGCAACCCAGAGACAGGCCCAGGCCAGAAGCTAAATTCCTGGTCTCCCGTGACCAGCTTGTAGGGCCACTTGAGAACCTGGGTTTCCTCTTTTTTTTAGGGCTCCAGTTTATGTGGGGCTCACAGAAGTCTTTATGAATAGGGGCATCTCTATAGGAAAAGCAGGGAAATTCATGAAGCTTCCCACAGTGCCACTTGAGAACTGCGTGTCTGCTCAAGTGCAAGGCGTCCGTGCGGCCATTGGTGCCGGAAAAGATGTGCTGCATCTGCGGCCGGCCATCTACATCTCCTAAGAGTGGCAGACCCTTGGGGCCCAGGACTTTGTTGGCCTCGGCAGCAGCCTCATCGAAGTGACTGACCCCTGCAAGGTCGCAGAGAGTGGCGTACCAGTCCGAGATGTGGATCACGCCGTGGAAGGTTGTGTTTCGGTGCTCGGCTGGGACGAAGCCCCCCGAGATGAAAGCATTTGTTCGCACTCCTCCTTCGAAGTCTGCAGCCTTTCCGGATTTCAATGGATAGTTGTTCCCACCTCCTCTCAGGTGGACGGAGCCACCATTGTCGGAAATAAAGATGATGAGGGTGTCTTCAAACATCTGGCGCTCTTTCAAAGCCTCAACCAATGTCCCCATGACAGAGTCCAAGTACATTAGGTTTGCAGCTAGCGCCCTTCGACGCTTCGTCCAGGCAAACTTCCTCTCTAAACCAGCCTTTACAAGGTGATGTTGGACGATATCCTCCAGTTGCAGGGCCGAGCGTGTTGTTTGCAGAGGGACATGCACAAGGTGTGACGAGTAGACCAGGAACAGGGGCGTTGAAGGTTCGTGATTTTTGAGGAGCTTCATGGCATACTCCAGGAACATGGACTCTTCGAAGCAGCTCTCTGGCAAACACTCCTTGGGATCATCCTTGTTGCAACCAATGTCTGTAAAGGACTTGCCTTTCACGCGTTCACTGCAGCCCAGTTCCGCAGCCACCGCTCCTTCCACACCACCACGGTACGTAGCATTGTGAAAGGAGAAATCCTGAAAATTGTTCAGGCAAGTATCCAGTAGCCACTTCTCACCTGCGTGGTCCTTGGACCAATAATCATTCATGGATTGCAAATTGCCGAAGAACGAGTCAAAGCCTCGGCCGAGGGGGGCATGTTCCGGCGTGGCGAAGCCGACATCCCACCTGCGATATCTGTCGGAATGTCTGTTATGGTTCCCTGGAGAGAAACTCGCCCAAAACAACCCTGCAACAGTCAGCCCAGCCGCTTGCCAATAAAATGGGTCGCATAGCCGGCTTGCTTCATCTTGCGACCAATGCCAGTCATGTTTCTCGGGATTCCGTAGAAGCCAGAGACGTTATCCTGTGGGTTCCAGAACCTGTCTTCACCAACATTGCGAACACAGACGCAGTTTCAGACTTTGGCATGCTCAGACACGCCCTAAACCCTAAGCCCTAAATCCTAAACCGATATGAAGCAGCAAAGCCATACTGTCCAAGTCGGAAACATCTGGGGTGTCGAAATGCCCTCAGGCACCGGGGGGAATCGGCCAGGAAGACGCCCGCTCAGCAAGGAGGACCTCGACGGCGC